ATGCAAACATTGTAACCCAATTGTTTGTATCCTCGTTTAATCTGAAATAAAAAAAAAATGACCCTTAGTTTGGGCTGCTATAACAAATTACCACAGATTGGATAGTTTAAGCACCATTTATTTCTCACAGCTCTGGAAGTTGGAAGTGTGAGATCAGAGTGCCAGCCTGGTTGGTAGACTATCAAATTCTCATTGTATCTTCACATGGCAGAGAGAAGATTGAAAGTTTGAGTCTATTTTATTATATAAGGGCATTAATCCCATTCGTGAGATTAGTTCCACCTTTATTAACTAATTATCTTATAAAGGCCCCAACTCCTTATACTATCACATTAGGAATTAGGATTTCCATATATGAATTTGGGGGGGGGTGACATAAACATTTAGTCCATAAATGACTCCTTCTCAGTTTTACATTTCTTTTCTTTTTTGTTTTTGAGACAGTCTCACTTTATCACATTTGGTGGAGTGCCATAGCGTCATAGCTCACAGCAACCTCAAACTCTTGGGGTCAAGCGATCCTTTTGCCTCAGCCTCCCCAGTAGCTAGGATTACAGATGCCCGCCATTCACTCTGGCTCAGGCAATCCACCCACCTCGGCCTCCCAGAGTTCTAGGATTACAGTTGTGAGCCACTGCACTCAGCCAACAGTTTTACATTTTTTCCAGGAACTTCTATTGGACATTATATATGTCAGATCTTTTCATTCTGTCTTTTATCTTGTCTCATGTTCTCTAGATTTTTACCTTTTGTGCTACGTTCTGGTTAAGTTCTTCAGATCTATTTTGTATTTCACTAATTCTCTCTTGCATTGTATCTAACCAGCTGTTGAACCTGCACACTGATTTTATAAACCTGAAGAATGCAAATATAATTAACTAATCAAGAGGTAGAAGTACAAGAGTGCCAATTTCAGCCTCTTTGATAGTAGGTCAATTGATAATTTAAATTGAATCACTATTTACAACAATTAGTATTTATCAACATTTTTCCTCAACTTTATAGGAACCTTTTGAGAAAGAGTATTTCTGAGGTTTAGTAATTTATTCTGCTTTTTTATTTGTTAAATTCAAGCAAATTTAAAATGAAAGCATTAAAATTAGCATGAGGATCCTTTTTTAAAAAGTTCTCTCTCTTCCACTTCTCTTTCTCTTTTCTTCTCTTCCTCCTCCCCTTCCTTCTCTGTCCCTCGTGATGAATGAGTTTTTGGTAGTTTTTACTTATTATGCTAAACTGTATGACTCTTTTACTTTAGCAAATGTGATTTAATAACAGCAACAACAGAATGAAAAAAGAAGGTTGCTGGTTTCAGTGGCTGAGGGGCCACTGCGTTTCTCTGCCAGCGTAAATTTTATTGATTATGTGATACTTTTAGTTTTGCTCCATCATTTAGTCATTAATGTTCAAAACTTAACTTTCTTCCTGAAGTTTATTAATATTTTGAGACAGAGTCTCACTTTGTCACCCTCGCTAGTGTCATGGCATCATAGTTCACAGCAACCTCAAACTCTTGGGCTCAAGCGATTCTCCTGCCTCAGCCTCTTAAATAGCTGGAACTACAGGCACCCGCTACAATATTTTTAGAGCCTGGGGGGGTATGGATGTCTTGCTCTCACTCGGGCTGTTCTTGAACCCCTAAACTCAGGTAATCCACCCACCTCGGTCTCCCAGAGTGATAGGATTACAGGCATGAGCCACCGCACCTGGCCAGGTTTGTTTTAATTCTTGTTGCTTCTTTGAATCCTTTATGACAAATTAGGTAAGAGCTGCAGTACAGCTTAGGACATTCTACATAAAAAACACTTAGCCTAGGTCCCCCTCCATGTAAACAACACAAAGGTCAGTGTTAACTTAATGAACTCAAAGCTATTAAGGTGTTTTGCACGTCAGTTATAAAACACTACTTCTGGCTCAGTGTCTGTAGCTCAAGCAGCTAAGGCACCAGCCACATACACCAGAGCTGGCAGGTTCGGATCTAGCCCGGGCCTGCCAAACAATGACAACTACCACCAAAAACTAGCCGGGCATTGTGGTGGGTGCCTGTAGTCCCAGCTACTTGGGAAGCAGAGGCAAGAGAATAGCTTAAGCCCAAAAGTTTGAGGTTGCTGTGAGCTATGACACCATAGCATTCTACCCAGGGCAATAGCTTGAGACTCTAAAAACCAAAACAAACACTATTTCCATGTAAATGCCGTACTGACTATATGATCACTTGTTTAAAACAACTCACCTTAAAGTAAAAATGTGAATTAAAATCCATTCGATTGATGAAGACTCTCTACATTTAGGTCTCACTTTTTGGCTTATTAAGCCTACTGGCTTATTTAAAGTATAAAATAGGTGGTTAGCCCAGATTACTTTTATGGACCATTCTAATCTGAAATCTTTAATTCCAAGTTGAAAGTAGTGGGAGAAACAATTACATTTCATTCAAGTACTCCTAAACAGTACATGAGGATGGCAGCCCTTTAAAACTAGTTAAGACAGGCCAGGTGTGGTGTAATCCTAACACTCTGGGAGGATGAGGAGGGTGGATCGCCTGAGCTCACAGGTTCGAGACCAGCCTGAGCCAGACCCAGACCTCACCTCTAAAAATACTCAGCTGTTGTAGTGGGTGCCTGTAGTCCCAGCTAGTTGGGAGGCTGAGGCAAGAGGATCACTTGAGCCCAAGAGTTTGAGGTTGTTGTAAATTATTACACCGCGGCACTCTACTGAGGGTGACAAAGTCAGACTGTCTCAAAAAAATAAATAAAACCAGTTGAGACTATAAAAGCCTGTGGTTCAGTACATAGCTAAAATATTTCTAGCTTTTAAATGCATTTATATTAGGGTTCAGTTTTAGTTTTCCTTTCAATCTCAGGTGGTAGGTATGGTATAATAAATGCTTGGTCTTTGTCCTGAGTTCCCAGCAGAGTTCCTAAAACCTTTGGAATTTCCTGCTAAGATCTTTTGTTTTTTCCTAAATGCCCCTTTTGACCTTACCAGTTCATACCAATGAGGTAATTAGAGGGCTACAACTACTAGCCTGAGACTTCCAGGGAGAGGAGAGGGGTTAGGAATGAGTTTAATCACCAATGGCTAAGCATTTAATCAACCTAAGTCATGAAATTTCAGTAACAGAGTTTCTGCATTGGTGAATGCAACGTGCTTCCGGAAGGTGGCATGCCAGAGGCATGGAAACTGTTGTCCTCCTCAGCATCCCCCCACTTGACCTTTTCTATTTCTTCCACTTGGCTATTCTTTTATTGTATGCTTCATAATAAAAGTTTAAGTAGGCTCAGTGCACGCCATAGCACAGTGATTATGGAGATAGCCACATACACTGAGGCTGGCTGGGGCCATCTACACAATGAAAATTGCAACAAAAATATAGCTGGGTGTTGTGGCGGGTGCCTGTAGTCCCAGCTACTTGGGAGGCTGAGGCAAGAGAATCACTTAAGCCCATGAGTTTGAGGTTGCTGTGAGCTGTAATGCTACATGAGACTGTCTCAAAAACAAACAAAAAAACCTGTAAGTATAGTGCTTTCTGAGTTCTCTGAGTTCTAGTGCATTTTCAAACATGGGGGGGGACCCCTGTGGGCACCTTGAATTTACATAGATGGCTGGGGAGAAGTGAAGGTAGACCATTGACCTCACTTGTAGCTGGTGTCTGAGTGGGGGCAATCTGTGGTACTGAGCACTTAACTTGCTCTAACTCGGTGATGTCACATTGGTGCTAGAGAACCACTGTGGGTAGAGTGGAGTAGTGGAGATAGAAGAGGCTCTCCTACCACATTCTCCAGTGTACCTGGAACTTATTTCTATATGATCAATATTGCCCACTCTATTATCCAACTAACTACTATATTGTAGAGCTAAGTTAAAACTCCCATAGATAATAAATAAAACTCCCACAGAAACGAATTGGGAGAACACTGTAGGAACAAATATATTATTGTTAGTAGTGGTTTTATGTTATATATAAAGTGCTTTGCAAGCTACAAAGTGGTTTACAAAAAAAGGTTTATCCCAGTGTGTAGTCTTCCTCTCCTTTTGTAATCAAATTGTCTAACATTCTGAGAACATTAATATTTCTATCTTTTGGAAAATGGAAAATAAACTCTGTTCCTCAAATCTGTCTTCTAAGGCCTTGCCACATATAAAAACTCACAATTTTAACATTTTGTTGTGCCTTTGCCTTGAATTTCTACCTTGTGGTCAGAGTTCTTGAAAGACACGTGTTTAAAAATAAACCTTGTTTCATACTTTGGCATAAGGGCACAGCATAAGCTATTTTCAGTATTCAAAACTCAGCAGACATTAACTATTAATTTACATATTTGACACCATTATCTGTTAAGGTTTTCACCAGACATTAACCAGCAATTTACCTATTTAAAACTATTATCCATTAGCACTTAAAAAAAAAACCAAAACAAAAAACCATACAATTCAGGAACACAGACACCCTAAGGAAAGCTGAAAATTTAATGTGATATAATTCTATTATCAGTATTTTCTTACTTCAAAGAAAAAAGCATTGTATAAATAAGCTTTGCAATAGGTATCCAACTGCCAAAAAGAATAGGCTTAGACATATTCATAGTTATTTTGATCTTAGAAATACAACCCTCCTTATTCCTGTTGCATTTGTATCTGTGACGGCTCCAATTGTGGGAAGCCATTATCTTCAGTATATTTTGTAAATGTAGTACCATTTAATATTAGGACTGCCCAAGGGGGTTAATCATAGCAATTCTATCTAATAAGGGGAGAAAGTATTTAAGTAGGCTACACTAAAAGAAAAATTCCATTAGTCATTGTGCCCACCAAGTAAGAACTACAAAGAATTCTTTCATTTGAGCTGATTGGGGGGGGGGGGGCCTGGGAAGTATGTATTGAGAATTTTGTATCTCAATTCATGAATTGGTCATATTAACACAAGTATGCAAAGAAATAAGAGAATATCTCTGACTAGGTACCAACTTTCACATTGGCAATTTTTAAAAAAGAGTCATAAGCACATAATTTTAAAGTTTACTTTAAAAAGGTAAATATCTCCCAATCTTTAACAGGTAAAGAAAATAGCATATTGGTTTATTTATGTGGTTGTTATATTTTATTTTCCAAATAATACTGATTAAAAATATTTACACACCTACTTTTAAGTCCACAGTTTAGCACTCTTATTTGTATGGCTTTAAAAGTTATAGCACAAGATCTTTACATTAAGGATGGGGGAGTCATTCAAAACAAAGCCTGATAATTATATACATGTTTTTTTCTGTACTTTATTTTAAATACATTAATTTTTAAATGTTACGCATATCTTTTTTTCATCTGGTGGTAAAATACTAGTGCAACTTTTCATCAAAATAAAAGTTTACCACAGATGTATATGAATTTTCCCAATTGAAAATGGCCCTTCAGCTGTCATTAAATGAACTTTTTCAACCCAACTTAAGTGAACAAGAATTGGTCGTTGTCATTATAAGCAAAAATAAATAAGATCATCTACATTGCTGCTTACAACACAAACTTTGAAAGACCAGAGATGCTTTATAGAAGTTTAGTTGGTTTTTAAAAGGCACATGGGTGTGGAATTTTTTTTTTTTTTTTTACATTCTAGAAATTTTGCCACCACCACTCTATTGAAGAGATGGCCATCTGTGACTATTGGGATAAACAAAAATATCTGTTCAAACTAAAGAAAGCCAGAAGCCAAAATTCAACTGCACAGTAACAATGCACTTTTCTTCATGCAGCCTTGTGTTTCCTATATATTCAATTTTCTAACATGCATTAGAATACAGTTTGTATTCTAATGATTTTATGTTTGAGTTTACAATATGGAAAAAATTTGAGGAAGGACATGACCTGGGAAAGAAAAAAAAGAGAACATTTACCACAATGAAAATAGATAAATTCGTACCCAACTATGTAATAAGAATATAATCCACGTAAGTTTCCCAAAATATACTCCTCAAAGTTCCCCTTCATTTATGGGAAAAATCCCTCCTCTGTGGCATTAAGTGAGGGGAGGAGAATCAGTTTGTTTTGATAAACAGATCAGCACAACAGGAAATAAGGTTTAACTTTGGTCCACTTGTCTGTTAGCTTTAAGGACAGTCACACTGACCTTAAACAGTTCAAAAGCCCAACATGTAAATTTAAAAATATATTCGTTATTTCGTTCTAAAACTGGCATAGCTGTTCTGTCCTCTTCCCCTGTTTTTTCAGCTTGGGAATCCACTGTTGGCCTGGTCTCTAAATCCTCAGCTTTTTCCTGATCTTCCCTGGCAGCCTCAATAGCCTCTGCTTGGCTAGGCTCTTTCTCCTCTTGGTTCATGATTTCTGGGGTCATGTGATCCAAGTCTGTGTCTAGAAGCTCAGTTTGTACTTCCACCGGCATTTGATTTACCCGTTCCACATGCAGCTCCTCCACATGTACTTCAGTACCTTCTTCAGTCTGAATTCGACCCACTTCTAAGTAACTCACTTGGACTTGCTCTGGAAGCTCACTTATATGTGAATCATGCACTTGGCTGTCCTGGAGCAGATCCGGATGGACTTGTTCCACAGTTACTTGTGCTGAATCTACCTGGACCTGAAGTAATGGTAACACATGCACCTTCCCAACTTGTTCTATAATAGTCATTGATGTCACAGGTTCAGTTTGCACACGTGTTTCTACCGAAAGAACTTCTTCAGTTACTAGACGCTCTGAAATATTGTGAGTATCACTGAGATGCCTCCTCAGTTCATTTCCTTGCATGAACCACAAATCACATAAAGTACAATGGTTGGGTTTATCGCCAGTGTGTATTA